GAGGTCTTTGCTCTGGATCAGATGCTGTCAGGATGTTGTGGGGGTAACTGATCACTAACACCTACGATAGGGGATGATTGCTCACTGCTGTGGACTGGACATTGTTCATGTTTTATTCTGTGTTCAGACCTGAAGACTGAGTGGTCTTGATTTGTCCTGACCTATCACAGGGACAAAGCTTCCTTGTCTGATGCTGCTGTTCCATGAAATTGTTCATGCCCAACATCATTTCTCTTTCTCGGGGCACAGCCTTGCCTTGCACAGGAAGGAAAGAGGGTGAGGGTGGGAGGTCCTGGCTTTCTCCCTGCAGGGTCTCCTCAGTCAGCTTCAGCCCCTTCCTGGAGACCTACAGGACTGGGTCCTTGCAAGTCTTCAAAAGGCTTTCTCCCACCCCCTGACCTCCTCAGGTTAAGAATTTAGGGACTGGTGGTAACTGCTCACTGCTCCTGGCCCTAGGTCAGCTCTCTCCCATGTAGTCTAACCCCTTTCACAACCACAAAATAAAAATTCCCCTGAGTCCAAAGACCCGAAAAAAGAGGCTGTAAACTCTAGATTAATGATATCAAGATTTCACCACTGCAACTCTCATCCCAGGAACAGCGTGGGTGGCATCAATAGAACGTGCATATCCTCCCCACCACCTGGCAAAGCCTAAAGCTCACGCAGGACAGGCAGGATAGATAGGGGACTGGGGCATGACCCGCCCAGATAAGGGGAATGAGTTTCATGCCTGGGGCGGTGAGGGCCAGTTCCAGGAACCAGCACTGAGCAGGGGGAGGGTCCAGGTGTCTCTGAGGGGATCCATGGGAAGCAGTTTCTGTTCTGGCCCAGGTAAAGCTGGATCAAGCTCGAGGGTCCATGAGGGTAAGGCAGGTCACGTCATGGAACAGTCTCCTCTGCACAGCACATGTGGCAAACAGCTCCTAGTGAACCCTGCCTGCGTGATCTAGTGGAGTGAACCCCCGTTCCTGATGGGACCCTCACCAACACAGAGGCCTCCCCATGACTCAGGCTCACTCTTCCTTCCCCAGCCCTGGGCTCTGATCTTCACCTTGAAATGAATTACAATGAAGATGGATGGATTCGTGTAGAGTGCACGTCTGCAGGCTGGTATCCACAGCCCCACGTAGAGTGGAGCGGTGAAGGGGGAGAGAGCTTGCCTGCCATGGCAGCACCTGGGGCTGCAGATGGAGAGGGGCCTGTTGCTGTCACAGACATTTTCTGAGCATCCCTGCTGCCTCCACCTGGGACAGGCGATGGGGAAGGACAAATGGTAACTGTCAGCAAACACATGACAAAGTGGGGAAAGTGTGTGCAGACACGTCCTGGAGAAAGGGCTGAGCTCCTCAAAACATGAAACAGCTCAGTACAGAAATGAATGGTTCCCAGAAGCAAATACCTCAGGGAAGGATGTCCAGTCTCACTGAGCAGGGAGACGTTCCCACCTGTGAGATGGGCAGCAAACAAACCATGTAGTTGGAAACACTGATGGCAGGACTGTGGGGAGACAGTCACTCTTAGACGTTTGTTGGTATATTTTTGTATAAAGTGACCCTTCCGGCGAGCAGCTGAGACTTTCCCTCTGCAGGTCCCTTCTCCAGCCCGAAGCCGTGGCAAGTGGCCGTGGGGGTTACCGTGGGGGTGACCGTTCTGGCTCTGATTGTAATCCTGGTCGGGGCGGTGTTCTTCTGGCAACAACACAAGAGAATCAGGGACTTGAACGAGGAGAAGGAGAGGGAGCGAAGTGCCAAAGGTGAGGCCTGGCTGCAGGTGGGGGGACTTCCCCGCCCCAAGCCGCCCACCCACTGCGCGGGTTCCGCCCTTCCATCCCCATGATAACACCTTCTCTTTCCGCTTATTTCCAGAGAAGCTGCAGGATGAGCTCAGTAAGTACTGATCCCCCACCACACAGGTACTGGGACCCCTGGTTTCCTGCCTCACTGAACCTTCTGTTTCCCCTGCAGAGTGCTGGAAGCAGCAGTACCTGGCGCGTGAGTACCTAGACCTGGACCCACATCTGAGACTCTCTGCTGGGATCTGTCCAGCCCCTTCCTCACCCCTGACCACCCAGGGGATGGAGTGAGGACGCTGATGGGGGAGGTCAGGCAGTGTTTCCTCCCTGGAGAAAGGGGTCAGGCTCTCTCCACCAGGCCACTCGCACCCGAATGTCCAGGGAACCCCAGAAAGGAGAGGGGAGATGGATTCATGATGTGAGTCCTCCCTCCCCGGCTGCTCTACAGAATATAGGCTGCTGAGAGGAAACCAGAAGGAGAGAGAACATTCTCTTCTAAAGAGGAGGGGCTGGTGTCAGCTGTCCCAGATTTGTCATAACTGCTGAAAAGACGTGTCTGAAATTTTCTCATTAAGTCACGCAATTCTTTTTGGAAAATGGCAGGAATTCATACAGATTGAGATGGATGGATTTCAGCACACATATGCATAAACGTATGCACACGGCAAGCCTATGCCAGGTACAGGAGGAAGACAGTCACCTCATAAGCCAGGGTCATGTGATCCATGACCCCAGTGGGTGCCTGGCCCATGGATAGCAACACACCCTGTGTGTAGTAGGTTCCTCCTTCTCACTTAAAAGAAGGCTTCTCATTGCCACACCCCAATGGCCAGCATCACTGCAATGATGGGTCATTATTAAGTAACACCAGGGGACTTTCACACCAGCCCTGTGATACTGAGGCAGATCTGAGCACAGAGCCGGATCCTCAGTGACTAAGTGGCTCATGGGAGGAACACAGGGTGGACATGCTGGGCACAGGGATGGTTCTCAGGTTGGCATGTCAGACATGGATGGCACAGGTGTCATCATGCTACTCGGAATGATGTGCAATTTAACACTTATGAATTGCTTATTTCTGGAATTTTCAATGTAATATTTTCCAACTGTGGGTGACAGAGGATAACTGAAACTTCAGAAAGTGAAACGATGGTCAAAGGTGACTGCTGTACAGGCACATACAGGACAGACCTGCAGGGTCATCTGGGAAAGCCCCACTCGGTGCCTGCAGGTCACTAGGTGCAGGTGAATTTAAAGAGGAGGGGGGAGTAGGGAACTGAACGGGCAGAGGGAGCGGGAGGTGGGGGGTCAAAAGGAAGAGAGAGGAAAGGACTCAGAAAAGATAGCTGAGGTGACCCTGCCTGTCTTCCTTTGCAGGTGACAGGTCTCAGGCCTACGCTGGTGAGTGACTCATGCTCTCTGGCTCCTGCACTTGTGTACAAAGCCCTTAAACCCTTTCTGTGCTGGTGAGGGATCATCAGACCCTGCTCAGAGCTCATGTTCTGTGGACGACCACCCTGCCTCTCTGGACATCCAGAGAGGACCTCCCAGCTCCAGCGTCCCCTCACCTGCTGCCACACACGCCCACACCTGGGCACAGCCTGCTACCCACAGCCCCACCGTGATGGAGGAAAGCCCAACATTCTGAGACCTTTTATGTGTCATCCTCAGAGCTGTGGAGGAAGGAAACTAGATATTGGTGGGAAGGAGAGGGAAGAGGCTCAGTGAGGAGGATGGTGGGGGGAGAACAGAAATGATGACCTTTCCTTGCCTGTGTCTCCTTCCTTTCAGAGTGGAAGATGGCCCTTTACCAACCTGGTGAGTGAGTCTTTGTGTGTTCCCTGGGACAACAACTCAGGGGCCTGGCTCCCTCTTTCTTCTCCTGCTCTTGACTGGGGAACATCTGGGTGGGTGGCATGAGATCCCCACAGTGTGAGCATCTGCTTCCAAGAGAGCCAGGGACAGCTGCTGTCCTGGCTTCCCCAGGTCTGTGGAGGAAGGAGGAGGCATGAGCAGTGGAGCTGGGGGCAGGGGCTGGAGGGAGAGGAAAGAGGTGACCTGGCCCAGCTGCTGCCCCACCTGCCCTGAGCTTCCTCAAGGTGTGCCATGTCTCTGAGTCCCTTTGAGATGATGGTGGCCATTCCTACCTTTTGAGGTTGGAGGAAAGACTAGACGAGGTGACGAGTATGTGTTGGTCAAAAAATCCAAGAGGGAAGCTATGGCCTGTTCACAATGGGTGTGTGTCTGACAGTAATGACCACAGTCAGGAGAATGTTCTTAAGACCTAAAAGTGATGTAGGCAACTCTTTAGATTATAACAGACTGTATTATAGTCATTTACTCACAGGGATATGGGGTTGGAGCAGACACACTCTATGTCAGTCTGCACAGACTTTTCACCACCCACGAACCTGTTGCAGTACTTTTTTTAACACACAACTCAGGTACTAATGGTTGTCAGGGCAAAGGTACAAGGAGTGTGGCAGCACCAGCCATATCTCCTGGGGATCTTGTGGTGGAAGGTTCTTTATAATCGGTACCATCATGTTTGGTGTTGACCTCCGTTGTCATGTTATTCTAGTGTTACTAACAGAACTGTTTATGGCTACATTTTAAGGAGCACACATCAACATCACCCTGAAGGCTTTGGTGTGCCTGCTAAGGACAGGGAGGTTGGTCAAAGGTCACAGCATGAGAAGATGAAGGAAATCGGAGACACAAAGATGGAGTTGGTTTGATTCAGCCACACCTGCCCAGTGATTACAGAGGGTTTAGAAAAGGACCTACTTCCAGAGGCAGGGGTGGCATTAAGGGAAACCACAAGGAAGGGCAGTGCTCCAGGCTCACAGCAGTGGGAGCTGTCACCGCCCCCAGGCCCAGGGCAGAGAGACGGGGAGCAGTCACTGGAGCCCTGAGGAGGCTGTGGCTCAGGGAGAGGCTGCCTGAGAGGAGGCTGCTCTGTTAGAGCTTCTCCCTC